CCCTCCACCCCCAGCCAATCAGGACCCCGCCGGCCGCGCCGCCACACTGGGGCGGGGAGCGGGGCGGAGCCCGGGCACTGCCAACCTGGCGCGGGCGGCGTCTCCACGTGGGTCCGACTCCTTTCGCCTGGAGGCCTCCCCGTGGCTCAGGACCCAGGGTGGGCGGACGCCCGCCTTGGAGAAAGGTCTGGCCGTTTCACCTAAAACTAAGCACGCCGCCGGACGTGGGGGATCACTCCTGTCACCCCAGCACTTCGGGAGGTGGAGGCGAGAGGATTGCCTGAGCCCAGGGGTTCGAGACCCGCCCGGGCAACTTGGCGAGACCTCGTCTCCACAATAAAATCCAAAAATTAGCCGGCGTGGTAGCGCGCGCCTGTGATTCCAGCTACCTGGAAGGTGGAGGCGGAAGGACCGCCGGAGCCCAGCAGGTTGAGGCTGCGGAGGCCGTGAGCATGCCAGTGCACTCCAACCTAGGCGAAAGAGTGAGATTCCGACTCAATCAACTGATCAATCAATCCAAATACACTCCTTAAATACATAAATAAAACGAAATATGCAACTACTCTTATTACCTAGGATTTTTCACCTAGATAGGTATTCGAAAAAACTTAAAACAAATTCATAAGAAGCTCAGATGTGCCCCAACAGAAAAATGGATAAATTGTAATATATCCATACAATGAGACACTACTCGCCATACAAAGCAACCAGCTTCCAATACACGCAATAACGTGGATGAACCTCAAAATCGTGCTGAATGAAAGAAATCTTAGAAAACGCATACTGTTTCATTCCACTTTTAAGAATGTATAGAAGTTAAGCTATCCATGGTGAAAACAAAATCAGAACGGGTTTTTGAGGGCTGAGAGTGAGGACTGACGAGACCTCATCTCCACCATAAATCAAAAACGAGCCGGGCGTGGTAGCGCGCGCCCGTAGGTCCAGCCACGCGGAAGGCGGAGGCGGAAGGGTCGCCGGAGCCCGGCGGGTCGAGGCTGCGGTGGCCGGGAGCGGCCGCTGCCCTCCAGTCTGGGCGACCGAGTGAGACTCCGACTCAAAAAAAAAGAAGCGTTTCTGACTCTGGACCTCCGGAATGGCAAGATAATACATCTGTGTTGTTTTGAGCCACTAAAGATTTGGTAATTTGTTACAGCATCAACCGCAATAAGAAACAGAGTCTCACAACGACAAAGTTGAAAGAGCTGGGATTATGAACCAAGTTCTGTGTTTCCAAAGCCTAGTTGTCTCTTCCCACTCTCCTCTGCTCAGTATAGGCTTAGCACTCCTGCAGCCAATTCCCTCTCCCCATTTCTCTGTGCGGTAGCCCAGAGTGCTTCAAAGGAAGGCACAGGGATTTCCAGACGGATTTTCCCCATTTTTTTTTCTTTTGGCTTTCAAACTTTTTTGAGTTGGAGTCTCATTCTGTCGCCCAGGCTGGAGTGCAGTGGCACGCTCATGGCCACCGCAACCTCAACCTGCTGGGCTCAGGTGATTCTTCTGCTTCAGCCTTTCAAGTAGCTGGAACTACAAGTGTGGGCCACCATGTCCGGCTAATTTTTTGATTTATTGAAGAGATGAGATCTCGCCAAATTGTCCAGGTTGGTCTCAAACCCCTGGGCATTCATTACAGGGGTAATTGAGATTGCTAGGATTACAGGTGTGAGTCATCGCCCCTGCTATGCTTACTTTTTACATGTACATGTAAACTTAGCATCCAGTGAAATGCACAAATTTTAGGGGTATCATTGGAGAACTTTTACCAATTCATACGCCTGTGTAGGCCAAACTCTATCAGGATCTGTTTCTTTGCTGTCCAATATGGTAATTACATCTGGCCAAAAGGACTTTGCAGATGTGAATTAATTTAAGAAATTTGAAGCCGGACTCGGTGGCTCAGCCTGTAATCCCAGCACTTTGGGAGGCTGAGGTGAGTGGATTGCCTGAGCCCATGGGTTCGAGACCCGCCTGGGCAACTTGGCGAGACCTCATCTCTACAATAAATAAAAAATTAGCCGGGCATGGTAGCGCATGCCTGTAATTCTGGCTACTCGGAAGGCTGAGGCGGAAGGATTGCTGGAGCCCAGCAGTTTGAGGCTGCGGTGACTGGGAGTGGCCACTGCACTCCAGTCTGGGTGACAGAGTGAGACTCCAACTCAAAAAAAAAAAAAAA